TTTGGGAAAAGGAGTCTGTCCCAGACAACTGGGGAGAATCGGTGATAGTGCCCATTTTCAAAAAAGGGGCGCGTAGTGAGTGTGGTAACCACAGGAGGATCAGCTTGGCCCCGGTCATCCAATGTAAGTCTGACTTGGCAAAATCCGGAACCTCACAACACACAGGTGAACGAGTGGAACTCGAAAAAGTAAATTGTTTGGGGAAGTAAGATGTTTCAATACACGACTCCGAAACTGTAATCCTTCGGAGAGAGAAAAAGCAAGTCCAATTTAGTGAGGTGGAGTACACTTAGGGCCTGACACTGTGCACAAACGAGGAGGATTTTGCGAGTCTTTTAAGGCCAACTGATGAGCTGGTGGTCACATTGTAGAGAATTTAATGCGAAAATAAGTAGGGTCTGGCTCTTGTTTGGTATGGGAGTGACTTTAACCGGTTCAGGTGGCCATCTAAACATCGGTGATATGAGTCTTCCGCCGCTACGACGCAGTCATAGTATTCAACCACACAGGAAGCCGGATTAGCAAATACAATTGAGACAATTAACCAACAGTCTGTTAATTCGCTTACGAAACTTCTACCCTTTGTGTCAGTATCAACAATGTTATTTGAGGCAGTGGACAAGATTTCCTCATCAGGGGGTACGGAGGAAAAAGGTTTCCCAAGAATGCTGCCGTAGTACCAGAGAATGAACATTACAGATGAGTTAGCCAAGGAAAGGACCTCAAACACACTGAGTCCTCGGCATGTGGTAACCTGTTAGTTATTCGATAACGTGCCAGAGAGCACATTTGAGCCCCTGCGCAGAAGTGCACTGTAGGCTATTTATGCAAGCAACATTCGCACAACTATCTGAAGAAGTTGGAATCAAGAACACACGGTTCTATAGTTTATATGCAGTATTTCAGATCCAAACTCATGCCTTCATAAGCATATTTTGTGAGGACTGGTGATCAGCCATACAAGTATTCTAGTCAATCACCAGAAGTTAAATCATCTGGGCGGTCATTTGCTGATCAGACGAAGCATACTCACAAAGTTACGCGGAATTGTGGAAGTCAATAAAAGCCAGTTACGGAATTGCTACGTCAATCAATTAGGATAAATCACTAGGACACTGAAGCAGTCAACTTACCTCAGCCGACGCAGCCGCGCCTGGACATAGGAACGGGAATCGCTCCTTTAATCCGGGGAACAAGAAAAGTATTAGAGGGTAGAGTAGGCGGTGCAAAATCCACAATACTGCAGGGATTACAATGCAAGGGATGCAGACCATTGTGTTAAGACTGATGCAGTCGGTCTTAGGACGTTACTGCACGCAGGCGGCAGAGTGGATTCTCAAAAAGTCAAGAAAGCTAAAAAAAGAGAAACATTCAGATCAGTGTAACTTGTAACGAAAATAAGGTTAATTCATCGTATTTTCATCTCTCTCTCTCGCACAAGTGGACACCGGTGACGGTCCTGGGTAGGAGACTTTGTTTGTTTCTGTTGTGCCAAACCCTACGACAGTAGTTTCCTAAGCAAGTGAGAGCCTGATTCGCAGGTGTACTTAACGGACCTTGGTCCTGCCAACGAGATACATGACCCTAACAACAAAACATACATCGAAGGCGGAAGGAAACGGAGAACTATGTCACTGTCCTAATTTGCATAAAGTCATGTTAAACGAGCTCATGGTGGCTCAGNCGGTTCAGTCTGAACCAAACACGAAGAGTCAACGATCAAAATCACTCCTGACAAATCCGTTTAGGCTTATCCAACCTTGCAGTAGTTCTGTCAGCGCGCTTCCTTCGAGTTGTATGGCAGACATGCAATGAAAGGATACCACAGCTGAACGATGTGTTTTGATTTTGACGACCAAAAGGCGGCGTGCAAGGAGGTTTGCGTTGTAAAGTAATTCATTATAATGGTGAAAATAATAATAATACACTGGGATCGACGGACTTCCATATAAACGAAGACCACATCCTTCTTTCTGGTTGACTTCGGCTTGTAATAGTCATAAAAATTTCAAAACCTGTGAGTGCCATTGTGTTGCAAGCTGAGGCTGGCCGGATTCAAGTTCACCTACCATCTCGATTACTCTATGCATGTGCCTCTGCAATACCAGCCTCGGCAGCGGTGTCATTCTAGGTTCACATCGCATGCAGGGACAACCGATCCAGAGTTGTCAGTGTATAAGGTTTTTGACGAGTCAATCAATTCAATTCGATTTATCAGCTATAAACAGTGTACCATAGGCATATTGGTTCCAGCTGCTACAGTTTCGATCACTGGAAAACGGGAACCAAGCCCTGGAGGCGAAGGCATGTTTAGGTTGTTGGGAAACTGTCAGGCGGAATTCCACACGGACCCCGCTCTACCGCTCGCAGTCAGGTGCTGCTACGGCCGAGAAGTCCATCCCACGCAAGATTGGCCAAAAAATTTGGACGCTTGCCAGTCAGGCATCAAATCGACATCTGATTAGTCGAAAATCTTGACCCAACAACCAATCATGACGCAATATTGGCCGAATGCCGGTTGCCAATGTCGCACCCGGAACGCTTCAGAATTTCCAGAAAGTTATTACGACTTACGCTATACAGATGAAGCGCTTTAAAAAAATGCTCCTGACTTCGTTTTTGGCGTTAATATACCTTGTGCACCTTTGGTAGTTGTTTTGACGTGAACGCCAGCTTGGATGGCTCAGACCGAGAACTAAGCTGGGAAAATGCCGTTACTGCAGAAACCGGGTAGACACGCATTAAAGGCGATAGCTTTGATGTACAAGCGCCACTGACTGCTTGAGTCGACCGTTAACGCCAATGTCATTATGCACTGGTGATTTGAGTCCAGGTGTCCCCATCCACTGAGCCGGCAGTTGAACACCCGACCAAGTTTACTGGTTAGTGTTGTTCACACTTCGTTGCCAGGTCATACACTGTCTACCTCTCGGTCATTTCCACTCGGCAAAGGGCTGTGTGAAAAGATCTCTGTGAGGCAGATGGTCTTACGGCCTGCGGAGTACATGTCCCACCCATTGCAACCTATAAAGCGTGAGCAATTCATCTATCGCGGAGGAGTTCCCCCTTCCTAAGATCATCTGGCTTACCTTAGCATTATTAATCTGATGTTCCCACTAATGCTGTGAGGACACAGACGATCGAACAATGACATCTTCCGCATGTCCTCTGCACGTAGGGACCACGTCCCTGATCCATAAGGCACTAAGGGGCGCACCACCGCGGTGTTGGCTCTTCCCTTGACAGACAAGCTCACGTCGAGTCAGCACAATAGGTGTCGGGAGCTGGCTAAAGCTGCCTTCAAGAAATGATCTCATCTCTAGCCAGTTTACCGGAACTTGTACAGCTACCCAGGTAAACAAATTCATCTACCACCTCGATTGGCTCACCTGCAAGCACGTGGTGTGGGTTTGATCACACCCAGCTTTGTGGCAGCAGTTTACCCTATGCAGGTGTGAAGCGCGTTCAAAATCGTGCTTCTGTGTTCCTCTAAAAAACACCCACGGAAGGGGACATAACAGCTATATTCCAAACAAGTGAGGGGGAGAGCATGAGTCCTTGAGAGTGCGAAAATACAACGATTTTAAGCAATTTATTGGAGGGAGACTGTCTAACTTGGTCCACTGCCGACGAGCGCGATCTGGCTTTGGTACGAGGCTGTGACGCCCTGCATATTGCGGGGGCATTGTCTCTCTGGTCAACATCAAGCGGAGGTGAGGGTCTGAGTAGATTTCTGGCATTCAGAGTTTGCCTTCGAGAATCTGACCTTCCTGATAAAGAGTTGTTTAGGTTATTTAAAATTGTTTGTATTTTGAATGGATCTGCACCATGGAGGGCAATATCGTCTGTGTGAGGGAACGTTTCCGAAGCACTTCGACTCCCGCGCTTTTGGAGGCAGGCAGAGAAATTTTGAGCAGCATATCAGTAACAGAGTTGAAGAGGAAAGAGGAAAGAAGCCAGCCTCGTCTGACATCGTTGCGCGTGGTGAACCCAGGCGAGAGCTTCCCATATACTTGTACGCATACTCCAGTCTTGGTTGTACGGCAGCGAAGCACCGGTGCTGAACACTGATATCATGCTGTCGATGATGATGCTGATGATGATGTCGGTCTACATCCAGATTTTCCGACTGAGTGGAGGTGCAGGCGCCTTGGAATGATTGTAATACGCTAGCACAAAGTTTCTTCCCTATCCACATTGACTCTTTTACTCACAGATAAAGCATGGTTGTGGGGCAGTGAAAAATCAGTGTCGAACACTGATGTCACTCGGTCGATGATGATGACAGTATTCGTATGCACCCAAAAAAATTTGCATACACTGCCTTCATAAGGAAGACAAAATTGAAACGGACACATTTGATCGCCAGACACTGCCAAAGTTGCTGATGATCGACAGAATCAAAAGTAGTTTTCAAATCAAACGTGGGAAGTTCGAAGGGGTGGCGCTGTTTAAGAATTTGTCTCAAGGTAAGGATACGGTCGATCCATCCTCGACCAGGACGAAATCCAGCTTGATTCTGACTAGTCTGTCTCTCCGGATTATCCATCAACCTGAGCAAAATAATGCTAGTGAGCGCTTTAGATGCAACGGCTACCAGGCTGATTCCACGCTGCTTGTCACATGACGTTCTTACTCCGTTTTTGAATATTGGGATGACGGTTAAGGAGCTCCATCCGGCTGTCATCCTGTTTTCGCTCCAAGTCTTGTGCAACGTGGTTGTCAAACTGTTCACCAGGACCTCGCCACCTTTGAAGAGCACCGGGTGTAAACCAGCTGGGTCAGGTGCCTTATCGCGCTTTATGACTGAAATCTCACGCTGGATTTCGGTTGCTGTCATTGTTCAATTCGGGCCCGCTTGGATCTTCCAGCGGCTGTATTAAAGGTGACCAGGGGAACTGTACTTTGGGGCGTTCAGCCCACTTCTCAAAACGGTGATCGAGGGAGTAAATTGCTGTTCCGTCGTTTTTGCATATTATCGCAATGACACCTGCACGCTTTGGACTCTTTCATCGGATGAGTTGAAACAGAACACGGCTGTTGCCTTTAGCAGAAGCCATCTCCGTCTCCTGGTTTTTCTAAATCCAACGACGTTCTCTGTCATTCTTTAACTCCTGATTACCCGGTGTTTCAGGGATCTGCGTGCGCCATCACAGTCGCTAGTTGCCGGTATGGTTTTCCTGGTAGCAATAATATCTGCTGATCTCGAAGATATTTAGTGTTCATTGAGTCGAGTAAGATGGGTTGGTCAAAGGGTTCCGGAGGCTGAGGGCGGTGCCCAGCTCGTTTCCATTAATCCTTCAGGCTATCTTCGTCGTCTACATGAATGCGTTTCTCGTATCTTTCTAGACAGATAAGCTCGATACTCTTCAGCTACTGAAACTGGGGGAAGTTGATGAACTGAGCTGCTCTGTTTTGGCACGCATGGTGCTAGCGGAACGCAAAGTGCTAAGCAGGCCCGCACGATGGCGCGATCAGTGTCAAGTCGCCTACCCCAGAAGGAACGACAATCTTCAACTGAGGCTCTCCATCAGTAACTGATAGCCATATGGTCCAATTTAGTCCGCGACTGTCTTGTGGTAGATGGACACCAAGTAACTCGGTGTGTGCGTTAGGCCGGAAGCAGATGATCTGCACACAACTGAAGAGGCTGCTCTATATTATCCGCACGCTTAGCATCGGCTCCAAATTGACCACCTAACTGTGCTTCTTCCGGACTTGGTCGACTAACTTGGGCATTCACATAACCCGCCAGGATTACTATATGTGTCCCTAACTTCGACCAAAGCAGTCATGAAAGATTTCATCATCGTCATCATCATCATCATCACTGCCAGCTGTGATAACCGCGTACAGTGGTTGCAGCTGCCACACTTTCTTTCACCGGTGATTTGAGGAGGTGCGGTAGGCAGTTGTGCATTGAAGGTGGGAGCCGATAAATCAGTGCGCAAATACAGCACTGTAGGCGGACTGTTAGGTGGGGGAAATGGGAAGAGAGCTATGCATTGAAGGCAATATCTCGGATGCATGAGCGCCATTGAGGGCAGGACTGGGCCATGCCTGACAATGTCTCTAACCATTGATGTGGTCTGTCTCGGGGTCCCTATCTAGGAAGACGGAAATGACCAACGCAGCTGAGTTTTCTGGTAATGGCTTTTAGCTTTGCTGCCAAGTCACTGCTTGACCGCCTTTGGCTGGTTTCCACCCTTCACGTGATTGTGCGAAAATGTCGTTTGGGTGGGATACACAGCGAGTGGCCAAGCCAGTTCAACGTTTGCAGTGTGATCGATTCATCTATCGAGGGTGAGTTATTTCTGCTTAATACCATTCGGCGTACTTCAGCATTCCTTATCCAGTGTTCCCACCAGGCTCGGCCGACGCTCCGAAAACATCGATGGTCAAACGACAAAACCTATTTCACGTCCTCGGGGCGTAGCGGATAGGTATGTGATCCGTACAGTATAATAAAGCGCACTGCAGCGTTCTGAACGCAACCCTTATCGGATAAGCTGATGTAATGCCTACGCCACAGATGACACAGGTTCACAAAAGTTGCTCTGGCCTACCCAGTCAGGATGGAAATATCATTTTCCGCCAGACCACAGGGAGTTTTATAGCTGCTGGGGTGAACAACTTTGTTCATTCGCAAGATGGGGCTAGGGTTTGAACCCGTCCAGTCTTGCAGGAGCACTTTGCACTGCAGGTGTGAAGCGCATGCCAAACCGTTAGGCGGAATTATTTAGATTATTTAATATTGTTTACATCACTAGGGGGTCAGATCGGGACTTTTGCTAAAGATAAGAATAACCGTCTACATCCCCTATTTTCAAGGCACCTCCTCTCAGTTTCATACAGCACCAATAAGCCTTGTCAGATATGATTCTCCTCTTTCTTTGAAAAGACCGTCCGGTCCTGGTGCTTTCTCACGTCACAGTATGGATGTATCGTACTTTATTTCTTCTTCTGACGGGCGATCGGGGTTTGCATTCAGTTGCCCGTATGCACTGTCTCCACAGACTGTTACAGGAGGCCAGCCGAAATGTTCTTCGAAGTATTCGGCTCGTCTTTCCACTGGACGTTTTTGCGAGTGAATTAATGGGCCATTTTTTCCACTTATTGTTTCGCTGACTATGGCTTTTCTAGGGCCAGTCGGTCTTAACAGTTGATATAGGGTGCGGCTATTTCCTGTAGTAAAAGCCTTCTCCATCGCCCGAGCTTTCGATGTCCACCAGAGCTCTCGCTCTTTTGGCTTTTGAGGGATTTACGTGAGTCATCGAACTCGTTGCTTGCTGATGTGGCTTTCTTGGCATCAGCCATGGACAGCGATCCTGACTACATCCAGTGGTCTTGTGGTTGAATTGGTTGGGTCGGATACACAGCACTGAATGCCGCTAACATAGCTCCTTTCACATTTTGCTACGCTTCAGCTGCATCCTCACTACCACTAGAGTGCTGGTTTACTGCGGAGAGTTGTTGGGCTAGCTCAGATCGATAGTGTTGAGCCATGGTAGTTCTCCGAAGATACCGGATTGGAACGCTTCTTGCTGACTTGTGAGGGCCATAAAGGAAGAAAACTGTCAGACACGCACGCACCATGGCGTGATGAGAATCAAGCCCCAGAAGTAACGGCAGTCTTGAATTGTGGCTCTCCACCGGTGGCTGATGGCCACGTGGTCCCACTGGACCCACGGTGTTGAAAGTTCGTGATCAGCGCACAACCGGAGAAGTCGCTCTTCAGTGTGTGCGGTGAGCATCGACTCCGAAGAGACCGCCCAAATGTGATTTCAAGAAGCTCAGACAACCGACCGGGGCATTCATATCGCCCGCAAGGATCATGATGTCTGTGCTTTTTGCTTGGCGAATGAGCCCAGAAAGCTCTCGATAGGAAGTATCCTTCTTAGCATCAGAACTGCAGTCCGTTGGGGGATAAACCGACACTACAAATAAGCACCGCTTTTTGTGCTGAAGCATTGAGCTTGATCGATTTGGATAACCGGATGGCGGAAAGAAACTTGTTCACTGAGGTCCAATTCAGCAGAGCGACTTCAGCTTTGGGGCTGAGTGCAGCTCCCACGCTATATATTTCATGAGTAATTGCTTCTGGGTCAAAGAACACACGAAGAGAGAAATGTGAAGGAGCTGATTCCAGCCTTGGAGTTTTGAGATACACAACCACGCGTGGGACTTGTATGTGTGTTTCACAGGCACAACATACATCAATTTTAAGGGGGTATAAGGTTTCTGCAAGCAATGTCTGCTTGCCAATTCGACGTCAATTACGGACGTTCCAAGTTCTTTTGTAGGAAGGATCTCGTGGATTTGGAAATGTGTTGTTCTGTTTATTGTTGGCTATCAGCAAGGAGCAGAAAGCCCTTCTTTCAGATAACAGTCGGACCAATGACCAATCGGCGTTTGTGTGGCGAAAAGGGGTTGTGGGGGACGGCGGGGACCCAGCGACGTTTGCTTGTGTGGTGGGAAGGAATTGAGACGGGATATTGGTGGTCACCGAACTGCGCAGGTGTATGATCGAGGTATCGCACCTTGAGCCTCTGAGTCACGTCTGACCTACGGGGCAGTGGACAGTACGATTTTGAAGGACTCAATAGCCTCACCTGCTCGGCTGCAGAGAATTTGCCTAACCCAATGGCGCAGGGAATAATGCATTGCTGTTTCATTCCTAATGCGGCTGGGTGCCTTTTGAGCAGCACGAAGCTCTCTGGCTTTAAAACAATTGCAACCGTATTGGATAATGCGCCTGACGTTACGGTCAACCGTTGGCGATCATAGTGTGCGGTTTTTGGGAGCGACCTTTTATAACCGTCCTTCCTCGAGGGAAGGCAACATCGTTGCCTCCATAAATATGGGCATGCTGGTTGCTTGGGGGAAACACCTAACTGCCTTCACACTCCTGCCTCAGAGGACAGTGCGACTCTACCCTCCGACCACCTCGTAGCACGATTACTCCTGGTACAGAGTTTTGCTGCTCTTGGTCTAACTGCACCATTTTGGCCTTCCTGGCATAGTTGCACCTTGTGGGATGACGTTCTAGCCAGTGCAGCCCGCGGAATCATTGCAGTACAGAAGCCCGACCACCGCGACGAGATGACAGCTTGAGGTCGGGTGACGAGTAGACAATAATAATAATTCAGCCGTAGCACCGCTGTGGTGCCTAGCTACCATACCTTCCGGAACAAGAACGCAGGATGAGATACTGTCAACGTGCTCAAGCTTAGACAGGGGTATTCATGGTGTCAGGGTTGGAGTCAAAACAGAGACCTTTCTGTCAATAAGTTTTCGCCTTAGTCAACGAACCATCTCGGGCGCAAACCGGGTTCCAAACTTGGGGTGATGAGTCAAATACCTGCGCTCCACTCGGTGGCCGTATTCTAACAAAGCACCGCTGTGTTTTTCGCGCGAAAGCCATGAGCATTACCATCATATTCATCACCTAAACTGAAACAATGTACGGCAGAATGAAACGATAATGCTTCCGGACTTTACTGAACAGAGCGGTGCATTCCTTTGCTAGAACATGGCTTCTTTGTGCTTCTGAATGGAACGATGTTCTTCAGGTCACCCCAAGTTTGGAATATTATTCCGTCAGTCGAGATATTCACCCACATCACTTGTCAGGGCGGTGTAGCGGGATATGACTGCTTCCACAGGCCGCTAACTACTAATTGCTATTACCACAACCTTGTAAACAATCTCTTGTTGGTTTGTTCTATACAAAATTCGCCTGCGTGCTAAGTACCTCGTGTGCGACCGTATAGTTATACATTGCCGCTAATAGTGCTTTAGGTACCACTGGTTTATCGACAACATTCGAATCGCGTGCATATAGGAACCGCGTGGGTCACCGGAGATTGCACAATAAAACCGTTACATCTTGGGCGAATAGAGTGTAACCGAAATGAACGCTTGAAAACAATTTCAGTGCACATAAACTTAAAGAAAATGGACCATTTTATTTAGTTAGTTCCCCACATTAGGTCACAAAAATGAAAAATTGAAAAGCTGTGATATTAGTGATTTTGTTGCACAACACTGCGCGCACCGTGGTCTCATGGACGCATCTTTCGAGACCCACTAATACGCCTTTTTGGTGCCACTAAAATATTAATGATTGCTTAGCCCTGACACCCTGGAGGTGCCTTAACGACATATTACCCAAAGGAGGGATGAGTGCGTAGATTCTGTCAGGCTATCTAAGCCCAAACAGTGATAGTCAAGATGCTTAGGTTGGGTTCGAACCATGGACTTTGCGGTCATTACGTTCGTGCCTTAACCACCAATCTGTTTTGAAACATAAGTGACACAACTCGGCCAAAGCATTCCTGGACTACGAGATTTGCCTTTCGACTTCGCCTGTCACTCATCAGAGATGACGCAGCCAATAGCGTTCCGCAGCTTCCAATTTGCAAGACGGTTTCGTTTTTTTGAATGTTTGCACTGCATAGATAGTCTGCATTTAGCACTTAGCTGGGGCGGCTATTCACGAATGTCCGCACGTACCAAATCTAATTCTAGCGGATCATCCAGTTGGTTCTCAGATGCACTGAGTCTAATGACTTGTGTAACCACAACGATATTTGGACCCTTAGCTCGCCATAACGAGGCTCTCAAGGGGTTAGGGTTATTTTGACAGAGCATTCGGCGGAATTACACACGGATGCCGCTTCATCGTTGGCAGACAAGTGCTGCAACGCCAGGGAAGCCTGTTGCGCGCGAGATTAGCCGAAAGTTCGAGACGCATGCTGGTCTGGCGTAAGCAGATCTGATTGGTCAAAAGTCCAGACTTAACAGCCAATTATGACACGGTATTGACCAAACGCCGGTTGTCACCGGCGCATTCCAGAAAGTCGTCGCTGCTTACACTTTATATAAGTATCATTCACACAATGGAGTACAAGTTTCGGAAGCCCCGACGCGTCATGAATGGACTGAAACAAACAGGGGTTTGAATTTGGAATACCGGTCCAAACTTTTGCGAACCATCCTGGTATTCCATTGTTGTTAGGAAAGTCTCCCACCGGAATTTTCCTTCAGATGAATGATTGCCTCAGTAGACAATGAAATTTTGTGAGCTGAAAAAATAAGAAAGTGGGTCAGAGTGACTTTTAGTTTGAGAACATGCACAACAACGTTTTGGCTTGAAAAGTTTTATTATACTCGCATATGTTTGGAATCATTGTAAGGCCAAAGGCCCCCTTTATATGTGAAGTGCCAAATAATTGTTGCTAGCTTCGTTTTCGGTGTTAGTGCACTTCATACATCCTTGACGATTTTTTCTGATGCGAACGCTGGCTTAGGGGGCTCAGACCGAGAACTTAGCTAAGGAAAATATCCTTAATACACAGTGATTGCTACAATGAGCTGGGGCATAATCAGATAAGATAAACGAAAAACAATGAACGTTTCACTTAAATGACTCTGTTACGGAAGGCTTTTGATTGAATGCATTTGTGGAGTAGATCAGGAAATTTTTGTTCCGTTAACGCAGATTGACGCCCATCCAAGTAAACGCTGCAGTAGTGGCCTTTGAATCGCCAGAGGTGCGCAACCGAAGGTGAGAGAAAAGTGACGGAGCAATCTGCCCAACAACTGTGCCTGCACACTGAATTATTGTGTTTGGATACGCAGCTACGTCGGTTTCGAACAAGTGTGTAAACAAGAGCAGCTTGTCGTCCTTTTTGCTTCTGAGGCCGCTGACTAGAAGCACACCCAAATTATTTTCACCGAGACTATAGGGTTTTCGAATCTGTGACTTCAACGATGAGTTATTTTAATCCATTTATACATTTTGTGACATGTTACCCGTAGCATTTTGTTTAGTAAGCTAAATTCCACGGTCACAGACCATCACCGGTTCGCCTTTTGCTACCAATTCACGCGAGATGAAAAACAAATTTGCACTTCAGCATATTTTGTCGTTCTTCGGTGTTCATTAAGGAACAAAGGACATCTAAAGAATGTCTAGTGCAAATTCCGGCCTGGAAGATCGATCGTTGACGTTCGCTTGCTTTTCACCCCTCAGATCTAATAGATAAGATGATTTTGTTCGGTAAACCTGGTCATAACACATTTTCCCATGGATTTCAACTTCCATTAAGTACAGCATCGTTTGGCAGCAGCACCAGCTGTGCAGTGGCAATGCAAGGACCAGGTCAGTGGATGATTCCCTTTCCCAGATATACATAACTAGCGTGTGGATAGTACAGTGCCATAGGTAGTGGCCGCCATAAATCAGCCGCCATGATAACGGTGGCCGTTGCCACTCACCTCTACTACTTACCATAACTGCTGGATCGATGTTTATGTGCGTCGCTGATTATGAGGCCACACCTTTGCACGGCCGCCGAATCCAATGCCCAACGACAGCCCCTTATAATTCTATGCGCCGTCACTCATCTCGAATACATATAGTGACTGCTAGGTCCACGTCTGCGTGCGACACTGACTGAGACCCCGCCTATGAACAGTAACTTAATCCAATGCCCAAAGACGGTCTTCCATACCCATAACTATACGCGATACCGCCTGTTTTCGCTACCTATCCATGCGGGCCGGTGGAAATAAGGCCTCAACTATACACGAAGGCCTCATCTGATGGCATGACATGCTCAGTGATGTATCCGATATAGCCCTACCTGGCTACTTATCGTACCTGCTAGGTCCACATCCATGTACAGCGTTGATTAACCGGTAACCCAATCCGACCTAATCTATCGCTTATCTTTGTTACCTACAATAAACATTTGATTAGTATTTATGCGAGCTGATGAATATCAGGCACAAATTATTCACACATAACGGGCCTCATAACCATAACTATATGCGAAATCGCCTACCTCAGCTATTTTTTGAGACTGTTGGGTCGGTGCCTATATGCGACGCTGAGTATTAGGCCCTAACTGTGCGCAATGTCCCAATCTAACAGCCAACGATGACTCGTCATGCCCATAACTGTTGGCGCTCTCGTTTATGTCTGCTACCTATGGTGAACACTGGGCAGGTGTCAACGCGCGTCGATAAAAACGAGGATCCAACTATGCGTGGTATCCTAATCTAACGGCCAGCGACGGCCCGTAATACTAGTAATTGTGTTCGATATTACCTACCCTGGATACTTATCGTGATTGCTAGGCCTGTCTCTCTGTACAGCGCAGAGTATGAGGCCTCAACTACGCCCAGTGGCCCAGTCTAATGGCCCGTCGTACTCATATCTGTACTCGATGTCGCCTGCCGAGGCTACTTGTAGTAACTGCGGGGCCCCTGCACACAATCATAGCTGACTATACTGCCCCAATTAACATAATAGAATAGTCCAACAAACAACGGCTGTTGTTCATATCCATACGTCGTTCATATACCAACCCCATGCCCAAAAATACATGCATCGGTAGAAAGATAATGTGTGATCAATCAAGTTAACCGTTTTTTAATCGGCAGGGTTTCTGAAAAAATGTAGAATAATTTGCGACTCGTACACATCTTCCGCGATTTCATTTAAAACACAGTTGATCAAAGTTTTAGTGGCTTATTCATCAAGTGCTTAACAAGTCCGTTTGTCCACAATTCTCGATCGGTGTTCGCACTGAACCCGGAGGCTTACTGTGTTAATGATAAAATCCCTAAATGCACAATTAGTGCAGTTGGCGATGACAAGCGGGATGTTTTGACATCGATGTTTCAAAAGCGGATTTGGCAACCATTATTGGGAGCGGCGAAGTTGAAGGTAAACAGGGGTGAATACTTGTCAGTCGTACAACCGAGTCGTGTAGACCTGAGCCCCAGGATTTAAGGACCAAACGCGTCCTCAACCGTGCACCCATGGATCCAGCCGCAGCGAAGATCTAATGAGTGGGTGGGTGCTTAATGTCAACTCCGCTCGTTTAGAGCACCAAATCCAAACTTCACTCAATTTCTGCTATCTGATACCAATACAGTAAAGCTTAATAAAATCGATATCTCGGTTTTCATTATCGAAACTCGTAACCGTCCCATACTCAACCACAGAAGCCATCTGATCAACAGAAAGCACCCTTCTGGGCTTCATCCAACTCATCGTTCGTGTCGAATTACTGCAGACCATCTTCACTTCCGAAATCACGTCGACCCTATCCGAATAAATGAGTTAGTAAAACAGCCGAACCTGCTGCGATCCAGCTGTCTGAGTTAATGATACTGATATAGCTAGATACTGTACGGACACATATTTCAGTGGAAATCCCCGGCGCACAACCGAAAAGTTGCTATCTAACTGTGGCCTTACGGATTTTCCCACACCGACCCACACGAGCTATGGTTTTGAGACAACCATTGACGCACACCCGGAAGCGCCTTTGTTTCGCTTCTCAAACAGGCCAGTTTTCACAGCCATACAACAGAACAGCCCGTACTGCGGCCTGCTACACACGTTACTTGATATTCACGGATATACCGCCTTGACGCCATAGGTGTTTCAGATTGGCATACGTGACTAGAGCATTGCAGGTTTGTGCACTGAACTCATCTGTCACACTGCAATCAAAACTAATGCAACTGCAGCCACCCGCGGCTAACGAAAATTTCAGGGTCGGGTGTTTTAATAATAATAATGTTTATTTCCCAACTTGTGGGTGGCATACCTTCGTTCATGATCATGCGTTTACAGTCAGAATGGGGCATGTGACTGGGGGATTCGCGGCTAGTGGGGATTCCACGAAAATGGGGGCAACGTTGTGAACAGTGAGGAGTGTTCGATGAAATAATGATAACAGGTTTCCTTCGAAACTTGTAGGGAACAATGGGCTTGAGGTCCGACTAATTCAAAGACTCAGTCAGTTGACATGAACTAAAAGTGGAAAACCACTGCTGGCCACGGGTGACCTTGGGCGGTTGGGTGAATGGCCGGAGTCACAACGAGATAAAGTGGAAGTGGAGATGCGACAATTCAAATTGGGAGAACATGGCAAGTTTAGTTCCAAAAATATGGTGCACTCTGAGAACAAGCAGACTCACTGGTTGCACTGTTGTAGGAAAGTTAAGTGCTGGGGTCAAGCTGGATGAGGGCACAAAAGTGGTTAGATTCAAGCGAGAGGTCCAACAGGTTGGAATGAATGTCGTGGTGATGGTTCGGGTCAATGAACCGCATAGGAAAGTGGGCTCGTTTGGGAGGAGGAATGGAACAGTTGCGGGTGTGCTATCAAACTGAGTATGACAGTACCGTGCCATCATTGGCCTGACATGCTTCAGTTTTTGGAAAGTCCCATGATGGATGTCGCGTTTGAGATCATTCGGCTGGGGTGTGTAGTTTATTGGGCGGCGGTTTTTTCTTTCAGCCTGGTCAGGGAAGCAAGGGTTGTAGGGTTTTTGTGGTCCGCTTTGCGATTCCGGATTGGTAGATCATAGGCCAGGTGGAGCGGATATCAGCTTACCAGGTCGTCCAAAACGGGTACTTCCGAAGTTCAAAGCTTGGGAAGTTGATGGGATGGGAGGAGATTCGCAAAACATGGTGAATTTGTAAGGATATAAAATGGGATAATATGCATTAATAAACACAGAGGAAAAAACTTGACGCCTGATGCAATTAGGGTGATGGCAAGTGATTATATTGAGCAGGAACTAGATAAATTTGTACTTAGGAGGCTAGCGACCAAGGGTTCCGTTTGCTAACATACGATATCACATTGCAAGGGGTCCAGTAAAAGCCAATAAAAGCGCGTAGAGGTGTGGTGTGGGAATCAGATGCATAAAGGCTGGCGGGAGTGGACTCCTAAAACAGCTGGCTGATCTGGTGTCTATTACATGAGTTGGGTTATACCAGGAGAGAAAGTGTGCACAAGAGAAATAGTCACAGGTCCCCGAAGCACTGTTATCAGCTCTAATCTGTAGATGGTGCATGGCAAGTATCTACCACTAGTCCGTGTCTATCACTGGGAGCGGTGAGAAGATGTATTCTCTGTTTGGATGACGAAACGGGTTTTGGTGCGGTTGTTGTGACGAAGGCAGATACAGCTATGCCCGCCAATGCAGGCCATGGGCACGTGCAGAGTATCATTGGGCTATCCCAGATATTTTATTGCTTTTTTCACAGATGGGAGGCCATTTTATTAATCTGTGGTTTATGGCATTGTCAGATGCATAACTCAACCGAGGCGAGCCCAACACCAGCAATAAACAGCAGTCAACAGTACTTTTTTTATTTCCTGAATTTAAAGGCCAGACTCAGAACCACCGGCGATGGGCGATGCACCCGTGCTACTGGAGGGGTGGCGGGTCTACGAACGCGCCATGGTGCAACGTAACAGGGCGAGCCTCCCTGCAGGGCGTACCCGTCCACCACACGAGGTTTTCTTCCCTCGTGCATGCTACCAGATCTGCTAGGTGGAAAACCATCCAAGCAGTCATAAGTGTGGTTTGTGCAATAATAAATTCTCCAGCTACCATTTTTTGGTCGGAGGAAAGTAAGGCCAGTAAAGACAGCTCGGTCAATTTGACCAGGCAAACAGCATACAGACGCTGGTAGAGGCAAGTCGCGGAGGAGAAGTGAAATGGCAGTTTTCAATGAGGCGGTTGGACTGGAATTTTGATACTTGTGGCGATTGCACCATGGCTAAACGGCTTCGGAGCGTTGGTGTAGGCTGCCATGTCGAGCAGAAGCGTTCAGCGATGTTGTGTGTGGGAGTGTTTCGTGGGGCTAATCGTCAAATGGATATATATATATATATGAGCGCAGAATGCGCTCTAATAACGAGATGAAGAAAAAAAATCGACTTTGGTTTGGTCTTTATCAGTTAGAGTCAGGCTGTGACCACCAGTTACTAGATAGAGCTGATAGAGTAATCCGAGGTGGGAACTGGACTGGGACGAGGCATAAGTTCACTGGGGAAATAGAAAACAACCAGACCATTAGCACTGTCTAATTAGAGTTAGTAGGTGATTAAGTCACTCAGGGATTTGAGGACGAAAAGAGCTAATTTTGGTTTGGTTCCTGACAGTAGGCTTTTGCCGAAAACAATGGACGCTAAACAGTTAATAGGGTAATCCGGTGTAAGGACTAGTCTTGTACGAGGTGTAAGTTGGCACGAGGAAATAGGAAAAAGAAAAGAATACCGCCAGGGCAGTAACGTTGCGTGTTTTGATCAAGTTGGCATTTAATTACTTTATTGGCCTAAAGCGGGTCAAGAGGATAGGAAGAGGTGACAACGGAATCCTTTACTTGACCACTAACTGTAACGTCGCTTAACTCAAATGCGTACTGGACCCGATTTTAGCAACGTTTTTGGATTCTAGCCCACTTATATGTCCTTAACCATTCTTTATACTGGATAACTATTTTCCACCGTAATTCCCCAATTATCTGCTGTCACAGAGTTCAACAGTAGGCCTAATGAGTGTTAGCCTTCAGCCCATTTAGTCCTCCTCTACATAATTGTCCCAGTCAACGTGCCACCAATGTCCAACGCTCTCACTGTCCTGTCTAAACTACCAGCCCACATAGTTGGCCAAGACGGGTTGTGGCGCTTGCAATACGATCTAGAGTTTTCATACCCTCCAGTGCTCTCTCAACCGTTTGTTCCCCAGCTCAGCTATTCCTCAACCTGCTCCGAAGTACCTCATTATGATACGGTACATTTATTCCTATTTTAAGCGGTTGTTGGACCCAAAATCCCCATAATCTATCTCCACAGTGTGTCCAAAGAGGCGGCTCGTAGCCAGAAGACCCAGTTCCCGACCCTCTCATCTATCTAGGCTGGCAAAGACAGTACCACGGGCAACGTCAGATTTTTCAGTGGTTCTAACCGACATATCTTTGCTTCCGCAACCAGGTAACACGCTTCTCTCACGGCTAACAGTAAAATCGCAGGTTCTGGAAGACCTGGGAAATCTCAGAACACGTCGACACAATACGGAAAATGAAATATCCTCCCTGCAAACCACACAGTCGGTTGCATTTCTCCTAAATCCCGAAGCAACATGCGATCCAACCAACTTAGGAAAAGCGTCTATCTTAAATGACACGATTGCCTCAGAGATATGTCAACTCTTCGAATGTCGGCATCAAGTCCTAATATTCAACGCACCTGATCGAATTCAGCTTGAGCATACCAAAACTGCCATCCTCACTGCATGCTGGATACCGTGCGCACAGCCCGGCGGCTCCGAATGCTGAGACCATCCATGTGTTGCTCAATAATAATGCGATTCCGGGATGAAAAGGATGCCGCGCGTCTGGTAACATCCCAGGCCCTTCTCTCCTTCACCAAAAATTCCAAACCACAATAATCAAAGCTGCCCGTACTCGAATGCAAAGAGAGCTCAGCAAAAAGTTACCTCAACCTGTTGCCTCATCAATCGCCGGCACTTGCGTTGATGCTCCCAAGGTGTCCCTAAGCTCCAAGTTCTCCGTGATTACTCCCAGCACCCAAGCTACACTGAACCACCCAGCAGCCTCTAGCTTCTTGGCATTACAAAACCCGAGTCTTCCATTGCCCGTGCGAATGGATTCTCTGCTTCACCAAAAGCCCCCACCAAACCTGTAGGACTCTCTCCTAGTGTTGAAACGACGGCTTCGGTACGTCTGCGAACCAGAGCATTGACCACACCAGTTGTCGATAGCACTCGTTCTCGTCACGGGCCCCCCCTGACCTGTTGTCTCTCCGTGCTCCACCTCCCCCAAAATACGTCTCCGGGTTCAGGAATTTGTTGTCATGGCCGCGATACGTAGCGCACCCTAAATTGCATCCCTGAAAATATGACCCTCCGCATGCTGTTGTTCCTATACTTGTTGCACCATCAACTACCAGTACGTACGTCGACACTCCAACGGTACATTTATGCTCCCAGGGCTCTTTGACTGTTCCCAGCACTGGACCCACACCAGAATACTCAGAAGCTTCTCGCCTCGTGGCCATACAAGAACCCGAGCCCCTTGTTGCTTCTATAAATGGACTTTATGATTCACCATCCGTGAAAACTGCAAATGCCCCCATAGGCCCAGAAGGACCCTCTCCTGGTATTGAAATGACTGACGCGGTACGTCTCCTAGCTAGAGCATTGACTACACCAGACATTGACGGCACTCCTTCTTGTCACAGATCCCCTGACATGCTGTCTCTCCGCGTAACACCCCCGCCAAAATACGCCCTCGGACTCAAATATTTATTTACAAGGCCGCGATATGTAGGACACCCTCAACTACACCCTCGAGAATCTAGCCCTTGTTCTTATCACGATAACTGGTGCTTGCTCGGGTCTCCCTATAATTACATGACAAATGCACCAAACCACACGTACCTCGAACTTGGTGAAACCACACATCCGAATATACCGGCGGCCAGCTCAGGCCATTACGTGCCTCCACCATCCTGCTGACCCACTTCCGTCCCGACTGTAGACCGTTTTCGGGTACGGCCCATCCCCCAACGACTACCGCTACTTTCTGCACCATATCAATCTCCACACCTCATGCCGATGCAAATGACTTCATGCCCAAAACCCCTCTCAACCCCCAGACGCTTCCAATTGCATACCAGGCTTCAAGAGATATACCCTACCCAATAATGAGTAATAATAATAATGTTTATTCTTAACTTGTGGGTGCCATACCGCCTGCCGTGGTCATATGGTTACAGTCAGAATGAAGCATGACTGGAGGATTTGCAGGTAGTGCGGATTGCGCGAAAAGAGGACAATGTCATAAGCAGTGGGAAATATCCGATAAACAATGTGCATGAGGTCTGACCAGTTCAAAGACAGCCAGCTGGCATGAACTAAAGCTGAAAACTACTGCTGGCCATGAGTGACCTTGGGCGGTTAGGTAAATCGCCGGAGTCACAACGAGCAAAAGTGGAGATGAAGATTGGATAATTCAAATTGGGAGCACATGGCGAGTTTTGTCTCAAAAATGTGGCTTAAACTGAAACTAAGCAGACGCATCGGTTGCACCGTTGTAGGGAAGTCCAGTGCAGGGGATAGGTTGGATGGGGGCAGGGTGCTAATACATAGGGCGACCCCAACACCGTATACAGATTTGAACTTGTGGAGAAGGCAAGCCGAAATTGCAGCGAAAATTCATAAGGTAAGGAAGAGCTCATCTCAGAGAGGGGGCCGGGTGAAATATTTGCTCGCAGTTGTGGCTAGAGGCTTCAGTGGGCGAGAGGTTGCGGTCGGGATTCTGGAGAAAATAGTTAGTTGCGTGCCATCTCACTGGGTATGACAGTGCCATGCCATCATCGCACTGACATGCTTCGGTTTATGGACAGCCCCGTAACAGCCGTCAAGGATGCCGCGATCGGAGAAGGGATTCGCAGTTCCGTGGCAGCTGGTTCTGGGTGAGACGGAAATCGACACAGGGAGTCAAGTAGATGTAGGCTCAC